GGAAAAGGAGATGATGAACAATCCTCAAAAGAAATTAGCATCCCATAATCATAAAACTCCCTATTCCGGCTGACAGGGAAAAGGAAATTACACCAGAGACAACAGACCACAGACACATGTCAGTAAGCCGAGAAAATGTGATTTTCAGCGCGCTAATCTGATTAGGGCTCACCCTTGTGAGGGAGAAATTATTTCATCAGTTCAGATGGAGTGAAGTCGGAATAAATGAAGACGGAAATGGGCCGAGGACAGAAGGATTTGGGAGTGGGGGCTTTGTTTCTCTGACTGGTGCAAGGAGCCCTGGTGGGGCACTGCTTTCAGAGTCGGAATTCAGTTTCCCTAGAGGTACCAATCATATCCTAAACCCACAGCGTTGGTCCAGTTGTTTCTATAACGTACCCATCACACCCGGACTCTCCAGCTTTTTTCTGGGCCCCGGGTCTCAGCTGTGTACCCCCTCCACACACGGGGCAGGACGGGGAGGTGTAGGCCAGCTCCCCCCACCCACTTTCGGGCCACTCGTCTTCAAACGCATCCCAGGCGGCAATTGGATGAGAGGCAGGTCCCTGCCTGGACGGCAGGCCTGCGTGCGCGGAATGAAAAACACCGAGCACAAAATGGAGCCCACACTAACACCGCACGAGCTGACATTTATTTCAGTCCAATAATGGGAAGGTCCTCTGTTTCAGAAGGGGCTGCTGCTCATTTCAACAGGCATGGATCCTTTACTGCAGCTCATCGTCTATTTCCCAATCCTGACTTGGTCTTTTTCGGCGGATTATTGCTGGTCAGGAAATCCAAAAGCTTCACTAATTCGCACGGGGAAGCAATCTTGTGGGGCTCTATAAATTCGATGTCTAGTATCTGTTCTCAGTACAGGTACAGTGTCATTCTCTACTCTCTCCATCTAACAGACAAGCCTCCCCCAATTAAGATGAAACTCTGGTTTGAGGAGTTATCAGTTAGATTTATAATACCAATCAATATGCATGATAAAGTGATGTCATCGATGCTTCTGCTATCCATGCCTTTAATTCCATGTGGGGTAGCAAATGCCACTTCAGTGCAGCTCTGTTGCAGATACAGCTCCCTACAGAAAAGGTATATGAGATAGGGGTCATTGTGCGCGTCCTTGTCCTGCGAAGAAAAGGCATGGGAAATCCTTGCGGGATAAGGTTTTTAAGCTCGGGATGTGCCGTAAGACTTAAATCGTTTTACTGGAGCGATCTTGCTAATTGCTCTCCGCGCATGTGTTTTTTTTTTCTGCGGATAATAAACACAGTTAGAGTTTCAAGGACGCTCCTCAAAAAAAAGGTCGGAGAAGTATTGTGCAGCTCCGCAGGAGATTAGACACAGCCGGGAGAGCCTGTACCTCATCTCTGGGGCCGGCGTGGCGCACGTGCCAACAGCCGTCAGGAACTGGGGTAGGGGCTTGCCGTGTCCGTGGATTCTGCCGGGCGGGAGACGCAGGTGGGATAGGCTACGGAGGTTGTGGGGAGACTTCCGGAAAGAGGGAAAGCCCTCCGTGTGGCTCACGAAGGAAGAACATGAATTTCCATCTAAATTCTGGGGTGAAGCTTGACAGCATCTCTGCTCTGTGCTGTTTTAGGCCACTCTTTGTGTTTCTCTCGGGCCCCGCTGTGTTGTTAAGCACCTGTCGGATCCAAAAGGGGGCTGAATGCGTTTTGCGGCCCTGAGAGCGGTCTTCCCGGGGTGATCCCCACCGACTCTGGGGGTGTCTTAGCGTGCGGAGCCACTTCTTGCAGAAGAGAATGAGAAAATCCTCATTTTCCACCAACGTGTCTGTAAAGCCTAAAAAAAGGTAAAAAACGCAGCCCGCGGGTCTTTAAAAGCTGTTTTTAGAGCTTGTCAGTAAGACTGCGGGAGTCTAGACAAGCTACCCAGCTGTGTGTTTTAAGCCCATTCTCTGGTTTCTTTTAAGAAAAGGCTGGAGGAGATCTGTATCAATTAGATAGTGGACTTGTTCTCATTTTTTATCTGTCTTGCATTCTTAGCATTTGAAGGGCCGGCGTTATCCCCATCTTTCCCTTCACTCCTTTCCCATTGGGGAATTTGTAAGAGGGATTTTAAAAGCACTGTAAACGGCAGTCGGCCCAAATAGTTTCCCCTTCTGCATCTCTTGGGTTCGAGGCCAGGAATGGTCCACGAGCCGAAGTATAGCGCATCGTCGTTGTCAACTCTTTTCATGCTTCTGCAATGAAGCCCCCTGCCTCGTGGCCCATGAGCCAGAGGGAGATGTCAGCAGCACCGCTCTGGGACTGAAAGTCCAGACACCGCTGTGTCGAAGCCCCGTACTCTCTCCCCCTGCCCAGCCCTTCCGGTCGGGAGTGATTGGTACTGCCCTTTCATGTCTGGTCTTGGCTTTTGATCTTTCTCCTGCCTTTGGACTGTAATCAATAAGCCCTCTCCGTGCTAATCCATCTCCATTTCTTAATCACAGCTGAGGCTCCATGCTGATGGAAGTGAAGGCATCTGTGGGGTTTTTTTGTTGTCCCTTTTTGCAAGGAATATCACCAGGTTTGAGTCATTTTGTGCTCCACCGGCTGCAGGAACGTCCCCCATGAAGGAGAAGGTTTGCATGAACAGATCGGCAAACCCGTCCTTTCAGGAGTTTCAGACCTCGCTGGCTCGTGTCCCAGCTGGATTTCAAGTTAGATCTCGGGCAGGAGTCACAGCACTAAAACTGAGTTGACTAGCACTTTTGGGTGGTAAAAAAGAAGAAAACCCATTGCTCTCTGCCCCGATTTCAGAGTTCTCCCTTTCTTTTCCACAGCAGATTTGATGGTAAAAACGATCCTTTGCCCTGCATTGTTTTTTTCTTAAGACAGCTGGAGCCAGACAAGGTGGCCTTTGTTTCGCCATGTTAAGTAGCTCCCTACAGCCTGGCCTCCCCAGATCCAGTAGGTTTCTGCTGTCCCCTTGGGGTGCAAAGCACATGTGGGTCTGTGGTCTGATGGCGGAGGAGCCAACTGTTGAAGTGTTCAAATTGGCCGTTCCTGTGAGGATGGGCCTAAATCCGTAAAGCATCTCGCCGTCGACTCGTCTTTTCGGTCGTCCGTCATTCCCCCCCACCTTCACCAGAGCCCTGGGGCTCTTTTCTCACTGCACTCTAGGAGTGCAGTTAACCCCACAGACAAGAGTGAACGTCAGAACATTAGCCACATCTCATTAGCTCGTGGGAGCATCCGGACTCCTGAGAGGGAGCGAATCGTGCCGTGTCTCTTGACTTTGAGAAACGCAACTAGGTTTCCCCCTTTCTCTGGGGGCTGTCGGCCATTCCCCCCCCCCACCCCCCCACCAGGGAATCGCTGTGGAATAAGTTGTTCAGCTGATAATGGGACATAATAGACTCATAAATCACCGTGATGGATGACTAACTGGCTCTTAACCTCATTCGGTATCCAGCTCCCCCCTCCCTCCTCCACCCTGATCTTCATGCCTGCTTGGCTCTTTACAGCGCCGGGTGAGTGTTTTTATTTATTCATTTTATTTTCTGCACTAATTGTTTATAATCCCCTTTCGCCCTGAGGTGTGATTTTGCAGTGGCAAAGTGACTGACTCCCTGAATAAGGCACAAGCTGATTGTTGCTTCCAATGTCAGTGGCGGCCGTTCATTGAAAAGAATGCCTCTTCTCTGTCCCCACCTCTCCCTCTGCCAGCTGTGGACCAGTTCGATCTCTTCCATCCCTCTGTACCTGGACCAGTTCTCTCTGCTCTCACGTGCAGTAATGGAGTTCCAATCTTGTTGGGATATGATGATGATCGTCATTTTATAATTAATAATAATAATTGCTTATACATTTATATAGCGCTTTTCTGGACACTCCACTCAAAGCGCTTTACAGGTGATGGGGATCCCCTCCACAACCACCAAGGTGCAGCCCCACCTGGAGGATGAGACGGCAGCCATAGTGCGCCAGAACGCTCACCACACATCAGCTCTCAGTGGGGAGGAGAGCAGAGTGATGAAGCCAATTCAGAGATTTTATATCTCTCACGCCAAGTCATCTCGAAGTGGTTTGGAATTGGGAACAGCAGAACAATAGCCCAATAATTACAAGTCGCACACAGTGGCAGCGATCGTCGGAAGTAAAGGTGTGATGTACAAGTGTTGATCATCATACATGAAGGTCGGCCATTAGAAATGGAAAGTTAATCCGTGTGTGAACTAGCCTATTGATTCGCAGGCAGACTTGAGCAGGCACTGTCATTAATCCCGAACCCAAACAGGGTCGAGTCCTGCGACTGTGTGCTTTTGGAGAGGGACAGAAAATTTTGCGGACTCCTGTGTTTTATCTCGCACAGCACAGCCGACTGCTGGTTTTTCATCTATCTCTCATTAATGAGTTTCATAATTAGAACAAATGAGGTTTCTGCCCACTGAACCCTGTGGTGAAGTTCACTAAGTCAGTGTGACGGTTTGCTTTGATACTTATCTCTCCGACTCTCTCGGAGTGCCATGATTTTAAATTGTTTTTAATTCACAGAATAGCAGGCAACGGATGTTTGATTTTCTACTGAACCATGGACAGATAATACATGAAACTGTCCATTGTTTAGCTGAGTAAATGTGTATTGAAACACCCTAAGGGCCAGGTGAATAGAAAATGGGTACATTTCTAATGTAATATTAAAGGAAATGGAAATATGGAGGTGCGTACACATCCCATAAAACTACAAGTCCCAGAAACCCCTGGGAGGCTGGAAAAGAGTACAGGATTAAGGGAATTTGACACACTGGGAGGAAAACACACACCACAGATATTTAAGAGGGGGAATGCACGGCAGTATTTGTCTTTTGACCGTCTAGTATGAGAAATATGAAGAAAGTAGCAGAGGAGCATAGAGGAGGCTAAGGAGAAAGGAAATATCATTTTTTGGCAAAGTAACTGTTTTAGGAGTGCTTGGGAGTGGTAATTAAATTGGACAGGCTGAGGAACATTTTGTCTGAAGGGGAAATCGGAAAATGTTTCATTTTCTAGCGGAAACCGGGAAATGTTTCATTTTCTATGTGGAGACACTTGTCTTTTGTTCCTAAGCCACAAACATACAAAGATACTGTACCTACAGTAGAAAACACATCCTGCTGTCCCCATGACTCTGATAGTGTAACAGTTACCATGTATTCCACTGCAGTGTGTTTAGAAATTTGAACTTTTCAAATGACCGAAACTCATTTTTGCTCTTACAGTTCTTGTGTTCAAATTTTCATTTGTGCCTAACATTTCCGATCAGCTATAAGAAGCAGAACATCTTTTACAGTACTTCTTCACTTGACGAAATGTAGTGATTTCAATTTTCAGCTAACTAATTGAAACAAGTCTGCTTTAAAACTTGCTCAGTCCTTGCTCAGCTTTATCCATCCAACTATAGGGGAGTCTGACTGTTACTACGCCAGCAAACATTTGAGGTGCTTTGAATGAAATAGTACTGAATGTAAGAAAAGAAGGAGAAATGTTGGAGTAAAACCCTTTAGGGATTTCAGTCTGATGGCAGGACTTGTTTAAAGGAACGCATCTCGTTCATATTCTTGACAGTCAACGAGATCTGAAGGAAATTGCAGTAGAGGAATCATTCATTGCAAATAGTAAAGTTCATATTAGACTAGGTGCACTGATTTGTCAGCAGACATTCCTGTTATTTTAAAAGATTTACTCCTGCCTTAACTTAGATGTGATAAAATCGTGTGCGATTAATAGATGCCCAATGACTCATTGCCCGTGTGTTCTATGTTAAGACTACAGATCTCTGCACACAGGAAAGAGATGATATGTTTTCCAATGAAGGATTAGTGAAGTCAGAGGTGGAGAAGGCTGATGGCTGGGTGAACAGGTTTAGTTCACGTGTAGCATTTGGATTTGAGCAGGCTGGTAGAGAGATTTACACGTTTTCAACCCTCCTGGATTAATAAAGCTTCCATCGTCCCCTGTGATACTATTTCATATTTATGGAACAAGAAAAGTTTTATATTCTGTGCTGAAAAGAGAAGAAAGAAAACACAACGTTTCGGCTGTGGAGCCTTCTTTGCGTGTCTTCTTCTTCCCCCACCCGAAGAAGGCTCCACTGCCGAAACGTTGTTTTCTTTCTTCTCTCTTCAGCACGGAATATAAATCTATTGTTCCTGTGCAGTCTACCCGTGCTGATGCAGCTCCCCCAGCTGAACTACTTTAATACGTATGCCTGCTTGTTCCTTCCAAACAAAAACAGTCATTTGGAAGCAATTGATAAAATACAATATGTGCTCAATTTGGAATATTTTCAAGTTTCATTACAGTATCTTAAATGTGCTTTCTGTTCCCAGCAGTGCAGTACAAAAATAGATTACTAGGAGATCAGTTTGAACGTCTATGTTCAGTATTCTGACTAACAGACCTGCCATGTTCAGATTTTTTTTTTGTACCTTTCGCATCGGCTGTCAAGCTGTCATTTCCTTCCGATTCCTGTATTTCCTTGTTTTTTTTTCCCCCCACAGCTCCGGAGCAATATGCAGTTTCTGAACCTTCAAGTCAGCCACGATACCAGCGAGTAAGTGCCCGTGCCGCCTTCGTCCCCAGCTCCCGGCTCCCCGACCATCCAGCGTTCCCGATCTCCTAGAGAAGCTGTTTTTGTTTCCACGCGTTCCATTTTCTGTCTAATGAGCTAGCAGGAAAAGGCATTCATCTTGGAGCGTCTCAGCCGTACCTCCCACGCTGTGTCTGCTTTGAAACTTGCTCCAGCCTAGCTCCGATTCCATCCATCGAACGAGCGAAGAATCTGACTGTTACTACGCCAGCAAACGTTTTGCAGTTTCTTTGGTGGCAGGTGCAATATTTGTTCCTAGACTCCCTTTTTTTTTTTCACAGTTGCACTTCGCTTTTGAGAGTCTACAGCTGCTGTCTCTTCTGCTTTCTGAAAACCGTGCACGAGACAGGCCCGACTGTTCTGTAGCTGTGACAGCGTGTGCCGGATAGTACAATCTAGTTCATTTTCCGCTGCACTGCCATGACTAAGTGCTCGACCCCAGTTAGCGTGCAGAATTGTCCTTTACTCTGCATGAGAGGGTAGGTCCGTTTCAAACAGCAAACACAGCGAGCTGCTTTAGGCGTAGGCCCAGAGGAAGGGATTTAGGAAGGGCAAGTAAAGGTTTATTCCATGCTGGAGTTCCGTGTGTGACACACCCGAAGAAGGTTCCACAGCCGAAACGTTGTGTAAACCTTTACTTGTTCCTTTGCAGCCTGCGCACGCCGACGCAGCTCCCTACTTGAACTACTTTAGTAAGGACTGCAGGTTAGTCTCGGATAATTCCCGAAGAATGTGATTTTTAGTGCTGGCAGCCACAGAGAGCAGCTCTGCTTCTCCTCAGCTAAGAAGCCAAGGGGCCAGACCTTGACGCCGCAGAATGAATGGAATGTATCAGGGCACAGGGACACGGGCTCTGCACGCCACGTTGCCTGCAAAGCCTCATTCAGTGTTCGAAGCAAGCCAGCGCGTAGGCAGTCACTCAGCGCAGATTAAAAAGGCGAAGGCCCACTGACAATCTTGCGTGGCATTTGTGCTGAAATGTCAGTCGTGAGTGTTCTGTGGTTCACTTGCAGCCAGCGGGGGGGGGAGAGGTGGTGGGGGGGACTGCCAGATGCCTCATGAGCGGCAAGTCCTGACGGATCATGGTTCTAACGAAACACGGTCTGCTCGGGCACAGGCCCCTGGGTAGCCAACCCCTGCTGAACTCTGCTGTGCCTCAGCACTGTTGGCACAGTCATGCCTTACGCTATATCTTGCATTAAGATCTTCCCAGATTTCACCAGCTGTAGAAACATTTAAAAAAATGTTCCTCTGGAAAGCGTACCTGTCTGAAGGCGATTTGTGTCGTCAGTTGTGCTCCGTGCTGCAAAGAAACAAGGTCAACCATTGCGATCGAGGGTGGTTTTCTGCTCAAGCTGTTTGGAAATGAATTCAGCGAGCCCATATTTGTGCGTGAGAGCTGTTATGGCCGACTCGATGAAGCACATCACAGGCAGGGCGTGAGGCTGCGCTTGATTGAGCGCTGAGCTGATTAGCTGTGATTTGGAAGTGGTCTGCGCCACACAGCATGGGGTCATTACACCTCACTGTGCTTAGAGGCAGCCTGCCTGGCCTCTACAGCAAGTCATCAATCCTCACTCCACAGGGCCGGGCTGCTGGCCTTGGTATTTATAATACTGGAGGGAACACGATGAGCTGACACTGTATAACACTTGCCTACAAACCCTGTGCTACAGTTTCTGTTCTTCACTCACAAAGGCACGCTGTTAGATTGTTACCACACAAACGGCAAGCTACTAAACACTGCAGCCCTGCAGTCTACCACAGAGCTACTGAACACACTGCAGACCGGCACTGTAACACAGAGCTACTGTACACACTGCAGCCCTGCAGTCTAGCACTGAGCTACTGAACACACTGCAGCCCGGCACTGTAACACTGAGTTACTGAACACACTGCAGCCCGGCACTGTAACACTGAGCTACTGAACACACTGCAGACCGGCACTGTAACACAGAGCTACTGAACACACTGCAGCCCTGCAGTCTAGCACAGAGCTACTGAACACACTGCAGACCGGCACTGTAACACTGAGCTCCTGAACACACTGCAGCCCGGCACTGTAACACTGAGCT